GTTTTGCAGTCCATACCCAGATCTTAATTTATAAACCTACTTTCTTGTTTTCCTCTTATGACTACATTTGAAGATCTGAGGATAGAGATCCTTTATCACTTATATTTGTATCCCTAATAAGTAACCAACCTATAATAGTTGGGAATAAACTTTGAAAAAAATTCCGTTATCTTTTCTACAGATGATATTTTTAATTTTTTTATGTAGAATACACTTTATGGTAGGTTTTCCTGAAGACAAGTCTGTTTTAGTTAAATCATCTGCCTAGTGCAATTCAAGAACTGTTATTTTAACTATTATTTTAATAAATTAGTCATAAATTTTTGGAGTAAATATGCTCATGGGAATTGTGGCAATAACCTTTTTCATGTTTTTTGTAACTTCCATTTTAAAATAGATACAGTTATTTTGTTTTCTAAGTTTGGATACTCTTAGATTAAAAACCATTTTTATCCAATACTCTAGAAAGACTAAAATGTTTAATATTTATATATTTTAAAGTAGAGATATATCTATACAGGGATATAGATGACATTTTTTAGCTGTATATTTGTTTTTTAAAGTAGATCATTTTGCTTCTACAATTTAAATAACTAAAATGTGTTTATTTATAAAATATCTGTGATGTTTTAAGTATAAGGAGACTGGTCCAAATGAATAAACTTCTCTTCATTCTTTTAAAAGATACTTGAGCTGGGATACTCCTCAAGAAATCATTGCAGTCAAGTCAGCTCAGAACAAAGGCTCAGCAGTGGCCCGGCAGGTATACATCTTTAGACATTCAATAAAATGAAGAATTTATATCAGTAGGAATTTGTCTGCAAATTTATTATGAGAGAGCTAATGATCTTTGATATTTGAAGCATACTGTAAAAGTTGGTAGGTAGATTTTTTTCCCTGAAGCATGCTAAGATATTTTTCTTCTCTCTTTCTCTCTTTTTTTTTTTTTTTGAAAGCAGAATTTATTGAAAGGACAGGAAAGCTCCCACAGTGGGAGGGGACCCGAGGATGTTGCCCCTCTCTCTTTTCTTTAAAGAATTACCCAAGAGCCTAGACTCTTTACAAAACCTAGAAATTAATATTAAGAAAATTATTGTTTCTGAAGGTGACTTATGGGGAAATATTATAGAAAGTATTTATTGAGCATTTAAAAAAAATAGATATAGACCACTCTTAGAGGTTTGTTATTTCTTTATACCCTAGGACATCTAGTAAAAACAAATACTTATTTTCTGACTCTTCTTGGCAGAATTTGTATTCTAGTTCTTTCTCAGTTTTAATTTTGACTACTTTGCTTTTTCTCATTAGTATTTTGATTGTAAAACAGCCAAGCACTGTTCTGAGTCCTTTACCTGTATTAACTCATTTAATCTTCAGTACATTCCTTATGGTAAAGAGTATTATTATCCCATTGTACAGATGAAGATACTGAACCCCAGAGAAGCCAAGTAATTTACCCAAGGTCGTAGTGCTGATGAGTGGATAGAACCTAGACTCAAACTCAGTCTGGTTTCAGAGTCTTGGCTCTTACACACTACACCATGCTACCCCTTCTTGAAATTTCTGTAACATGCAGTGGCAGACAAAGTTTGTATAGCGTTCTTGGTGCTTTTTTTCTTTTTTAATAAGTTTATATAGAGTTCTTGGTGCTTTTTTTCTTTTTTAATAAGTTTGTATAGAGTTCTTGGTGCTTTTTTTCTTTTTTAATAAGTAGTTCCTCTAATTTTACCTTATTTAGGTAACCACATTAAGCATTCATTCTCTTGTCAACCCTCCAGTGTAGTCTCCTCCACTCTGGGCCAGTAAACTCTGCTTTTCATTCTACTCTATTCTCCCTTGTCTGATCTTTCTGTATCCCACTAAAACCAAGTAAACTACTTGTTGGCTATTTCTACTTACTTTTTATCATGGCTATCTAAATACTTTTTCTACCTCTTTCCTACATCCTGCCCAGTCACATGAATAATGTAACTGCGTGCCTTTCATTTGATCCTCCTCACCCTTTTCCTGATTTACTGAGTGTGACAATCTAAGAAAATGAGATGTTGTCTCTCTCTTATTAATACTTCTCTCCTTATACTCTCACTATACTGCCCTCTGCACCTTGGAAAGTTCACAAAAGCGAAATAATATATAACAAAGCAGCAAAACATTTTATGAGAATTCTAAAGTATCTTATCTAATGTTCCTTTTTAACAATTTAAATTCCATTTGGGCAACCCCCTCGGGTCCCCTCCCACTGTGGGAGCTTTCCTGTCCTCTCAATGAGTTCTGCTTTCAAAAAAAAAAAAAAAAGAATTTAAATTTTGTTCAAGGCTGTATTAAGCTATTATCATGCCATTGCATACCAGCCCAGGCAACAGAATGAGACCCTGTATCAAAAAAAATTTTTTTAATTACTAAAGAGAAAGAATTTAAGTTTAATTCTAGACAGTATTATCTATTAGTATTCTTCATTTGCCATCATCTGATAATGTTAATAAAAAGTGGCAGTATTTCTGTATTCTAGACTGTTTTTCCACAATCTCCAGCCAACAACAGTAGCTATTGGTTGGGACATATAAACTATACCTTTCCTTTAGGTCTTGGAAACAGAGAGAGAGTCTCATTTGCACCTTGAAGATCTTTATTCAATAAAAATGTATCCCTTTCAAAGGGAGAATCTTTGGTTTTGTTTGTTTGTTCTGTTTTGAGTTGGAGTTTTCCTCTGTCGCCCAGGCTGGAGTATAGTGGCACAATCACAGCTCACCACAGCCTCAATGTCCTGGGCTCAGGTGAGCCTTCTGCCTCAGCTTCCTGAGTAGTTGGGACTACAGTGCATGTCACTATACCTGGCTAATTTTTTTTTTAATTTGGAGTCTCACTCTATTCCCCAGGCTGGAGTGCAGTGGCACGCTCATGGCCACCCCGGCATTGACCTGCTTGGCTCCGGCGATCCTTCCGCCTCAGCCTTCCAAGTAGCCGGAACTACAGACACGGGCTTCTATGCCCAGCTGATTTTTTATTTATTGTAGAGAGAGGTCTTGCCAAGTTGCTTGGGCTGGTCTCGAACCTGTAGGTTCTGGCAGTCCACTCGCCTCGGCCTCCCAAAGTGTTGGGATTGCAGGCTGAGCCACCGAACCCAGCCCTGGCTAATTTTCAAAAAAAATGTTCTCTAGAGATGAAGTCTTGCTATATTGCCCAAGGTGATCTTAAACTCCTCACCTCAAGCACTCTTCCTACCTCAGCTTCCCAAAATGTTGGGATATAGACGTTAGCTACTGGACCTAGTGAAGGGAAATTCTTTTGTCCTTTAATCAGTACAGTCTATGTTTTGTTTGTTGTTTGTTTACTTTTTGACTTTTAGTTATGGTAGTTTTGATGCCCCAGGCTTAAAGGTTCTATTGAAGCAGAGACTGGCTGTGATGGTCAGAAAGCTTTACCTACCACAAATTTAGGAAATTTTCCTTCGAGCCCTCACTGGGGAAGTAAAAAGGATTATTTTATATTTCATAGTGGAAAGAAATTGACTGGACTTTGTTCTTCAAAATAAGGGCTCCGTCCTCTTCAAGCAAAGAAGTCACTCAAGCTTTCGTTGTTGATATTTATTCTCATTTCATATAGATATGTCAGTGCAGCACTGCTTTCGGATGATATGACCCTGATAACTATGTGTCTTTCAGTTAGGCTTTTATTGTTAAAACTCCAGTGTACAGTATAAATGCATAGTATTCTGTTACTAAGAAATGTTTACTGTTATATTTACTTTTGTAGATATTTATGTGTTTGTATGTGCATGTGTATGTCTGAAGGGCTGGGGGTTTAGTGGACATATTTTGAATATGTTTGCCTTCCTGTTTAAGTAACTCTGCAATCTAGACAGATAAACATCTGCATAACTGCATGCTGGGACAGATGAATGTTTTCAACTCATGAAAGCAGAGTGTTTCTGAAGTACTTTTGAGAGCTGCCTGTAATTTTAGTCTTTCCTTCTAGGCAGGCATTCAACAACCTGTTTTGCTGTACCTTGCAGTGTTTCGAGTTCTACCTTTTTCACTTGTAGGGATTCTAGAAATCAACAAAAAGGTAAGAACTCATTTCTTATTTAATTACAATATTAATTTTATTGACAATAAGATATAATGTCATCATTTAGTTATTTATTAGATGTTTTGATCGGGAATGTTCCCCTGACTAAAAAGGTTCATTGGCCTGGTTTATTTCATAACAGAATACATAAGAACATTTAACTTGAACATTGACAAGAAAGCCTAATTATCCCTTTCATCTTTATGCATTTTTGTTTGCCTCTCAAGTGGACAGTGTTGGATACCTGTGGTCATTAACAAACTATCTTTTTATAAAATTATGAAATGACTAAGGTATTTTTTTCAGAGGGAATATCCCAAAACTTATTAAAGTTATCATTAAAGAAAAGTGGAAAGTTACAGCAAAATGTCTCATTTTAATTGCAAAATATAGTTCTAAAACTTGCTTTATGATATATAAACAAGCATTATAATCAAATATGTATTGTTTTTTCCAACTCATTCAGTTTTAGGTTTTATTGTTGTTGCCATTGTTCTTGATTCATGGAGCAGTTACATGGGAAGAAAGAAGGGGTAAATTTCCTTTGAGTAAAAGAATCAATAGCCTACTTTTCTTTTTTTCTTGAGTTGGAGACTCACTCTTGTTGCCCAGGCTGGGGTGCAGTGGCATGCTCCCGGCAACCGCAGCCTCGACCTTCTGGGCTTAGGTGATCCTTCCGCCTCAGCCTTCTAAGTAGCTGGAACTACAGACACATGCCACTACACCTGGCTAGTTTTTATGATTTATTGTAGACACAAGGTCTCACCAATTTGCCCAGGCTGGTCTTGAACCCAAGGCTCAGGCAATCCTCTCGCCTCAGCCTCCCAAAGTGCTGGGATTACAGGTTGAGCCACCGTGCCCAGCCAATTGTTACTTACTCAAGGAGAATAGTTACTTTTATATATACATATATATATATATATATATATTTTTTTTTTTGATTCGGAGTCTCACTCTGTCACCCAGGCTGGAGTGCAGTGGCACCTTATGGCCACCACAGCCTCGACCTACCAGGCTTAGGCGCTCCTTCTGCCTCAGCCTTCCAAGTAGCTGGAACTACAGTTATGTGCCACCATGCCTGGCTAATTTTTTGTTTATTATAGAGATGAGGTCTCACCAAGTTACCCAGGTTGGTCTCAAACCTGTGGCCTCAGGCAGTCCTCTCACCTTGGCCTTCCAAAGTGATAGGATTATAGGTGTAAGCCACTGCTCCTGGCCTATATATGAGCTATTCTGCTAGTCTTTGGAGTATTATAGAGGATAACATCTTGAGAGTCCACAAATGTTCATTAGCAGACAAGGTGAATATTGAAATTTTCCATTAGTGATCATAATATGCTAACCTGCAAAATGGCTAGAGAATACTATTAATTATCATTAATTGTTTATTTCTTGCCATGTGCTTTGAATCTACTGTTGTATTATAATATATAATTGACTTAATTAAGAACTTAACAGTATTCCCAGCTAATAGAGAAGCTGAGGCGAGAGGATGGCTTGAATCCAGGAGTCCGTGTCCAGTCTGGGTAACATAGGGAGACACTGTCTCTAAAAACAATTTAAAAAAAAAAGAAGTTAAGCAGCTATTATTAAAGGTAGTATGTAGAAGAGCTAGAATGTGAACCTAGATTTGACTCCAAAGTATAAACCAATTTTTTAAATAGGGTAGCTACTTTATTATAGCACTCATTATTTAAAAATATGTTTGAATTACACAAATCCCCCCTTTCAAAGTGAGAAACAAGGATCAGTGAATTAGAAAGTCTTGAGCTAGTTATCATCAAAGTAAACAATTATTAACCTTCTAAGAGATGACAAAAAAGTACAATTCATAATTTGTTCTCTTTGTGCTTGTGGATTAAGTAATTATGTGTGCTTATTATAATCTACAATAAGAATGAACACTTAGCAAAGCCATAAATTATTTCTATTTACTCCTATATTTCCAAGGTAATTATTTGAGGGATTTGTTTTTGGTTATGCTTACTTGGGATTGAAGTACATCTTTTACTTATGCGTAATAAGACTATCCAGGGGCCAGCCTCAGAATATTCTTTGAGCTATTTATTGAAGTGATAAAACTTCACTAAGTAATCTATCTTGAGTAGAAATTAAACAGATTTTCACTTTACTTCTAATTGTTCTTTCATTGTTCTGAATATTTACCTATATTGGCTTTTGCTACATATTAAAACAGGCACAGAATAAAGTTCTTTATCAGAGATATATGGAGAACCAGGTCAGGATGCTGTACATAAAACAAAAGAGGAAAGGGAACAAACAAGGAGGCAAAGCCTTATTCAAAGTCAGCTAGGCTATATATCTTTATAGGTGTTTGGTCTTTATGATGTTTGGTTTTTAGATGACTAAAAAATCAGACAGTGTTAGAGATTTAAAGAACAAGGCAATGATAAAATTCTGTACTTGGCTGTTTCTCTTATAATCACTGCCCTGGATCTAATCTTTTCACCTCTAATGAGCTAAAAATTTGTCTCTTTATGAAGAACATTTTAGCGTAAAGAATGAGTCCCTGGCAGGATACACATGGGAAATTAAATATTCATTTAGAATTACATAGCCTTGGTGTATCCTGATGTTCGTGAAGAATAAGATTTGTCATTAATAGATATTGACAAAGCTGTGAAGCAGATAAATGCTGGTGCTTCATTTTGAGTGGTATGTGCCATACTTCCGTTAGTGCTCCAGTCTGAGAATCCAGTGACTTAATACTCACCCCTATTAATACCCTGGCCTCAAGTTGCTAAATTCTAATTGTTTTAATGCTAGGCAGCCCTGTTGTGGTGGTGACCTGAATATTAAGCAAGAGTACAAACCACTGTCAACACTCAGAGGGTTGGCCTTCTGATCTTTTCTCAGGTGATATCTGCCTTTTCCTCCAGATTTTCGGGAACATTACAGATGCTACCTTGTCTCATGGCATACTGATTGTGATGTACAGCTCAGGACTGGTCAGACTCTATAGCTTCCAGGCCATCACTGAACAGGTAGAGAACACTGAAATTTGCCATATTATAATTAGCACAAGATTTGGACTGAAGTGTGGATTTTTTTTTTTAATGAGATGCTTTTAGAGCAAGGCACTTGTGTAGATTTCATCTAAAAAAAACTGTAGAAATGCAAAGACAAAGTAACTTTAAAACAGGGGTGGGGAAGATAAACAGAAAGGTCCTTGAATAAAGACATTTTCCTTGTCATATACATGTGAATTTTATTTTATTTTTTTCTTTCCAGACAGCAAATAAGTAGGTGCTAAAGCCACCATTTTTGTTTTGTTTTGTTTTTAGTTCATGCAACAGAAACTTGACTTAGGGTGTGCATGCAGATGGGGTGGGACTACTGGAACTGTAGGAGAGGCTCCTTTTGGCATTCCTTGTAATATTAAAATCACAGGTATGGCTACTCTATAGTATATTTTCACCTTAAAAAATAAATGGTCATACAAATAGTTATTAATTATAATCATCCAAATGTTTTATTCATTTATTTATAAACAATTCATTTTACTCCTATGTGTTATATTCCTTGCTATTGATTAAGTGTCAGTAAAAGTCTATCAGTTGTTCATTGAACCAAAGGTCTAGGGATGCTGGGCCTTGCTTGGCCAGAGTCCTTTGACAAGTCACTTTGCCTTTCTGATCCTTTGTTTTCTTATCTGCAAAATGATGAGTTGCAGCAAATGATACCATCTTAGCTCTCTTACAATTTAATATTTTGCAATTCTGCGAAACTTACCCATCTCTAAGAAAGGTGTTTTCCAAGGAAAATATTATTACCTTGCTATCTGAACACAGACAGAGCTAGACACAGAACTCCCTGTATACTTAAAGACTGACAAAGCACTATAAAGAGAAAATTATACATAATTCTATATAGCAAAAATGTTCTGTATTTGACTAGCTTATCAAATTCAACTATTAAGAGAAGTCAATCATAACTCAAATCCAGCAGTGTACATTACAATACATATATCATGACCGTTTGGAGTTCATCTCAGGGATCAAGGAATGGTTTAATGTTTGCAAATTTACTAGATACAAAAATCACTTGAGTAAATTAAAATAAAAAATATATTTTATTATCCTAGTATCTGTTTAGCTTTGTTCTTAGTTTATTCAGAGTCATTCCTTATCATGTTGAGGACATTCTCTTTATTTCCAACAATAAGCATTAAGTTTTTAGGTGAAATGCCAAAGGTTTTTCTGATATAGGCCGAATAATAAGAATTTTTTTTTTTTTGAGTCAGAGTCTCACTCTGTTGCCCAGGCTGATCTTGAACCCATGGCCTCAAGCAATCCTCTCACCTCGGCCTCCCAAAGTGCTGGGATTATAGGTATGAGCCACTGTGCCCGGCATAAGAATTTCTTCTATCATTTTTATTTAACATTGTGTCATTAATAGAACAAGAAATAGAAATGAAAGAATATAATTGTTATAAAAAGGAAAGGAATGCTCTTTTTAGTAGTAAGTGACAAATTATAAAAATTACTGAGAATTCATTATAACCAATCAAGCTATCCTCAAAGTTCAAAATAAATATATTTTTAAATCACTCAAGTTTTTAGGTGCCTTGAGCAAACTGAATTGGGCAGTTTTATGAAAATAAGGCCCCAGTAATACCCCCTATATTCAATACAAATACACTAGTAGGAATCTGTTAAGAATTTTAAAACTAGTCTCTGGTGGTAACTAAAATGGGTTATTTTTAAAAGAGTTTTCCAAAGTGGTGCCATTATTCTCGCAGTTCTAGAGGCTAGAAGTCCAAAATTAAGGTGTGGGCAGAGCCAGTCTCTCTCTGAAGGTGCTAGGAAAGATCGCTTCCTTTCCTCATGTAGTGTCTGGTGGTCGCCGCAATCCTTGATGTTCTTTGACTTGTGGCCGCACAACGTGGTCTTTCTCCCTCTGTGCCTTCATATCTCTCTCTCCTTATAAGCATACCAGTCATTGCATTTGGATCCTACTCTTATTCACTATGAGTTCATCTTAACTCAATTATATCTGCAAAGACCCTAGTTCCAAATAAAGTCACATTCACAGGTACTGAGGTTAGGACTTCAACTACGGGGTCAAGATTTTGAGGGGACACAGGGCAACCCACAACAGAGACCAAGATCTAGTTGTGTTTGCCACAAGGGTGTCTTTGCTTTTAGTTCCTTTCAATGAACAATGCTAGGAAATAACATTAAAACACAAATTTATTCATTTTCATTTTTCTAAATTTGACCATTTTTTAATTTTATATTTGTATTTCTTTTAAGTCACACTGAACTTCGTTTTCTGTTTTTTTATTTTTGAGTTGGAGTCTCACTCTGTCACCCAGACTAGAGTGCAGTGGCCGGGAGCGGCCACTGCAGCTTCAACCTGCTGGGCTCAGTGATCCTTCCGCCTCAGCCTCCCAAGTAGCTGGAACTACAGGCGCGTGCTACCACGCTCGGCTAATTTTTGATTTATTGTAGGGGTGAGGTCTCGCCAAGTTGCCCAGGCGGGTCTCAAACCCGCGGGCTCAGGCAATCCACTCACCTCTGCCTCCCAAAGCGTGGGATTACAGGCTGAGCCACCGAGCCCAGCTTCACACTGAACTTCTTTATTTCTAATAAAACTTTACTCTACAAAATACATGTGATAGTCTTAAAATAACAGTACTAATGTTACTACTAAAAACTAATCTATGAAGTGAAGATTAAAATTTCTCTGCAGTTTTTTTTTTTCCATAGTATACAGCCCAGTAAAAGTATACACAGAGTAATATGTTCAAAAGTGATTTGAAATCATTTTTCTATAGGGCTAGGTTACCAGTGTGATATACTTAGGTTCATTTATTTCAGTTTATTCTCAGTTTTGGGGTTTGTTTTTTTCCTTTTTATTTATTTATTTAGTCAGGGTCTCACTCTGTTGCCCAGTTTGGTGTGCAGTGGCCCAATCACAACTCTCCTCAGCCTCCCAGGTGGCTGGGACTACAGGCATGCAGTGGCACCCAGCTGATTTTTAAATTTTTTTTGTAAAGACAAGGTCTTGTTATGTTGCCTAGGTTGATATTGAACTCCTGGGCACAAGCAGTCCTGTCACCTCTGCCTCCCAAAGTGCTGGGACTACAGGCATGAGCCACCACAGCCAGACTTTTGATTTTATTCATGAAGTTGTGAAATGTGTATGTATTGAAAGGTCAAACTATACAAAATGATATACTCTAAGAAATTTTACTTTCAAGCCTATTCTTTCCATCTTACTTCCCTGCTCCCATTAGTAACCATTATTTTTCATTTCTTGTTTTCTTGCCTTTTTTGTTGTTGTTTTTTGTTTTTGTTTGTTTGTTTTGTTTTTGAGTCTGGGTCTCCCTTTGTTGCCCAGGCCGGAGTGCAGTGACACGTACACAGTTACTGCAGCCTCAACCTGCTGGGCTCAGGTGATCCTTCTGCCTCAGCTTTCCAAGTACCTGACACTACAGGTGTGTGCCACCTTGCCTGGTTAATTTTTTTTTTTTTTTTTTTATTGTACAGACAAGGTCTTGCCAAGTTGTCCAAACTGGTCTCAAAACCCTGGGCTCAGGCAGTCCTTTCTCTTCTGCCTCCCAGAGTGCTGGGATTACAGGCATGTACCACCATACCCAGCTATTGTTTCTTTTTTGTAAAAATAAGCACATGTGTGTCTGTATACTTTAAATATTATCCTCTTTCTTACAACAAATGTAGTATATTTTATACTCTGTCTGGTACCTTGTAATTTTACTTAACATATATTGAAATTTTTTTAACCAAACTTTTATTTAGTATTAATAGAAGAAATATATAAGGTTAATTATCCTCTATTTTTTAAAATTATAGAAAAATCATTGTGTTATAGATATTGCCCTTTTAGTATACTTTATGTTAAAACCGTCTTTTGAAGTATTATTGTTTGACCTTTCACAGACTCAAAATATTTTAATTAATTATAATTTTCATCTTATTTTCAAGGCTTCTTTTTTCACAGTCTAGTCAGTAGAAGATCTTTTGCTGGCTCTCCTACTCTTTTAACACTGATATCTTTGTAAACATCCTTGCTTTCTAGCAACAACAGGATGGTTGACATTCATCGTTAAATTTTCTTACCATAAGACATGGAATCAGCTACTTTCTGAGAACCTCTAAGTCTTTTTCATTGAGATCAGTATTAAAGATCAAAATTTGGGCTCTTGGGAGGGTTAGCAGGCACATTGAAGTTATGGGCAGAGTCTTATTGCTACTTTTGGTCTTTAGTAACTACTGGGAAAAGTATTTCTTTTTAAGTATATCTATTTTCACTGATTTTTAAAATTTGTTTTGTTTTAGTTGCTTTTCAGAGACAGAGTATTGCTTTGTTGCCCAGGCTGGAGTACAGTGATGTGACCATAGCTCACTATAACCTTAAACTCCTGGGCTCAAGTGATCCTCCCACCTCAGCCTCCAAAATAGCTGGGAGTTCAGGCATGAGCCACCATGCCTGGTCTGTTTTTTCTGTTTTGAATTCTTATTTTCCTGATTATACCTGTTAGTCTAGGATATGGAAGATCTCTTCCTCACATCTGGAGGAATTGCTCAACCTAATTACCTTGTAGGATTATTATGAGTTGGAAATAGTATCTAACCCAGCGTCTTTTTTATAGCAGATGCTCGTAAATGGCATCTGCTTTTATCAAGTGTACTTTGTCATTTTTTGCCATTGTAAGCACTTTCAGCCCACTTTTATCTCTGCTTGCCTGCAGTCCTCACATACTTACACTGAACGTGGATATCAAGAAAGTTGGCTCATAGCCTAATATGTATCTCCTACTCGCTTTCTTACCAGTATGCCTCTTTCCTGATTGTATTTTATGTCCTTGAACATGTAATTTTTCATTAATGGAAATTTGTAGATTATGCATGCAAAGAAAGGTTGAATTCAGTTAATGAATAGTCCAAGGTCACCAGAACACAGCAGCAGCTAATAAAAATTCCTTTTTCCATCTCTGCAGACATGCCGCCACTGCTCTTTGAGGTGTCATCCCTGGAAAATGCTTTTCAGATTGGAGGCCATCCTTGGCACTACATCATTACACCTAATAAGAAGAAACAGAAAGGTGTATTCCATATTTGTGCCCTAAAAGACAACTCCCTGGTAAATCACAAGTGATCAGATCTTACAGTTATAAAGTTGTAACAGAAATTCTCTATTCTCTACCTCTCTAGTAGGTCCACATTCCTAAGAATTACTTTTTCGTTCATTTGCTTTAATAATTTGAGAACAATTTAAAATATAGAAGAATATATAGAATATAGCAAACACTTGTATATATCACAAAAAATTTTAAAACATTAATGTTTGAAGCCAGGCACAGTGGCTCAAGCCTATAATCCCAGCACTTTGGGAGGCGGAGGTGAGAGGACTGCCTGAGTCCAGGGGTTTGAGACGAACCTGGGAAATTGGCAAGACCTTATCTCTACAATAAATAAAAAAATTAGCTGGGTGTGGTGGCACATGCCTGTAGTTCCAGCTACTTGGAAGGCTGAGGTGGAAGGATCGCCTGAACCCAGCAGGTCGAGGCTGCAGTGACCATGAGCATGCTACTGCCCTCCAGTCTGGGCGACAGAGTGAGACTTCAACTCAAAAAATAAAAAATAAAATAAAGTAAATAAAACATTAACATTTGAAAATTTGTAGGGCACCAATAATTTTTTAGTTTTTCTTACCAATCGCCTAGCAAGGGAACACATGCAAAACATCTTTCAAGCTCCATAGTGGGAATCGTGGGTAGATTTACAGGCTGCCTCTGAAATTGCTGTTGGAATGTGTTGTTGATTCTGTGTCTCCGTGGTTTGTTGCTGTTTGCCTTCCAGAGCAGAACTAGATAGAGCTCCAGTGGATACAGTGTAGGCATTGAAATACTTGAAATTTTCAAGGATATCCTTAAGTTATTTATGGCAGAGTATGAAGAAACGGTACATGGTAAAATTTCTATCCTGTGAAGTCACTTTTCTTCTTTCTCTTTTCAAGTATGATTTAAAATTAGTTTGTCATTTAATAAATATTTACTGAGAGCATACCATGTGTCATACATTCCCTTCCCTCAAGTTCCTTATACTCTCAAAAGAAAACAAACATTTTTAAAAATGTAGAAAAATAAGACGCAGTTTATTAAGTACAGTGATTGTGGTAAGTGCAAAGAAGTGAGTCCATAGAGGATGGGGGTTCTATTTTGTTCTATATTGCTGGTTAGTTTAGTTTATTTATGGAATCTCTTGATATATCAGGTAAACTTGTTTTTTGTTTTGAGGCAGGCTCAGTTTATTCCACAACCATCTCTTCCAGATCTTGCTCATCAGTCACTGTTGGCTCTTATGACTTTTAGTGTTACAGGTCACGTTTCACCATGTTGAAGATCAACATTAGTCTTGAGTCCTTTTTTTCAACTTCCCTTGATGTCATGGCCATCAGGGGATAGTGTGTATAGGATCTTCTAGTTTTCTTTTGTAGGAGAATTTTCCCTTCCATTTTCTCATTTACTTATAGAACAAGGAGTCCAACATATAAATTTGGGGGGGATACAATTATGTCCACAAAAAGGCCTTAGTTTAATTTTTTGTAAAGTATATTAGATATGCATCAGGAAATAAAACAACCTCTTGATCCTCCCCACACAGCTAAAACTTCCTGAAGGCAGAGCTGAAGTAATAGTCTCACAAGTCTACCATTGCCCCTCACAGGGGACCTTGTCCTTAAGGTCTGGCTTATCTATAAGTAAATTTCTCATAAGTACTTATTCTATAAATAAATGAGATTTACTCTTTGGCCCATCCCAGAAACAGTCTGTTTTACAAAGAACTATCTAGGAGCTGTGACAAGTCTTGGTTTGATTGTTTACCTCTCATCCAGTGGACATCCTTCAACCATCAGGACCTGTCACATCTCTTTTTCACTTAACTTTGCATTTAATAAGATCTCAGTACATAAAGAACAGCGTGACTCCGGACATGATGGAGGAGATGTACAAGAAAGCTCACACAGCTATACGGGAGAATCCTGTGTATGAGAAGAAGCCCAAGAAAGAAGTGAAGAAGAAGAGATGGAATCTTCCCACAATGTCCCTCGCCCATAAGAAAGATCGGGTAGCTCAAAAGAAGGCGAGCTTCCTCAAAGCTCAGGAGCAGGCTGCCGAGAGTTGAACCAGTTTTCTATGAGGATTTTTCAGATAAAGACAATAAACATTGACCAAGCAGAAAAAAAAAAAGAAAGATCTTGCACAGTTCACATTCTAGACATTTAGTACATATTCTTTATAAAAAGTGACAGTACATATTCTTTCACACACACACACACACACACACACACACACACACACACACACACAGTCAGTCCTCCATAGCCATGCATTTTATCTGCATCCATGGTTTCAATCAATCACTGATTGAAAATATTTAGAAAAAAATGGATGGTTGCATCTGTACTTAGTATGTACAGATTCTTTTTCCTTGTAGTTATTCCTGAAACAATGCAGTATAACAAATATTTACATTGTATTAGATATTATAAGTAGTCTAGAGATGATTTAAAGTATATGGGAGGATATGCAAGGGTTGATTGCAAATACTGCAGTATTTTATATAAGGAACTTAGCATCCTTGGGTTTTGTTATCAACAATGGTCCTAGAATTAGTCTCTCATGGACACCAAGGGATAACCATACATATAAATAATGGCCTTCTACATCTCTATCAAGTGTGCCTATCACATATTCTCTGATCATAAATGATTATAACATTTAATCAAATCTGTATTTCAGCCTATTCACAAATAATTGCCAAATCCAGGGGAAGTTTTCAACCCTTTGGCTGGACAGTTTTGTTGTAATGACAATGCCTTAATGGTTCGTATGCCCATGCCTCCCTACCTGTCAGTCAGAAGAGTAGAGAACTCAAAACACATAAGCAGCCAAGCTTAAGATTTCAGAAAATGTTTCATACCTTTCTCTATGAAACTGAGCTTTAAAATCTAGCATTTGAACAGATAATAAAAACTATAGAAACTGGTAATAAAGCTGCCTAGTATTTAACATAAAGAGAGATAATTTTTTTACACATTATATTTAGATATTATAATAAAGAGAACGGTATTCTAAAGAAAGGTATGTGAGCTGGGCTCGGTGGCTCAGCCTGTAATCCCGCGCCTTTGGGAGACTGAGGTGAGTGGATTGCCTGAGCCCGCGGGTTCGAGACCCGCCTGGGCAGCGAGACCTCATCTCTACAATAAATCTAAAAATCAGCCGGGCGTGGTAGCACATGCCTGTAATTCCGGCTACTCGGAAGGCTGAGGCGGAAGGATCGCCGGAGCCCAGCAGGTCGAGGCTGCGGTGGCCGGGAATGGCCACTGCACTCCAGTCTGGGCGACTGAGTGAGACTCTAACTAAAAAAAAAAAAAAAAAAAAAAAAAAGAAAGGTATGTGTAGTATGTACATGTTTTATAGTAAACAAAGAAGCATTTGGAGCTAATATTATCATGGACACATTCATTTCAGTGGTTACAACCAAGATTTTTAATTGCATTAATTAACTTATGTGAAATGTAATAAACCACCATTCCTATTAGAAATAATTAAGATATGTGTAAAAATTCCTGAGAAACTGAAACTCATTCATTAATTTGATACAATTTATTAAATTCCAAAATCTTGGAAATCGTGGCATACAAAGCACTTATGATGTACACCCAGTCTACCTCTTCAGTTAATTTTTTTCTGCTACTCATGTTTATGTACAAATATGCTTTGTTGGTTAACACTTCTGTTCCTATGAGTGTCTAATAGGAAAGATGATATTCCATTTTACATTGGAGAAATTAAAGAAATTAAATGTCTTATATAAAGCCAGTAAATTAATATATCCATGTTGTGATATTAGTTCCAAAACATTTGTGTACATTTGATAACATGATGAAGGATTTTTTTCTTTAATGTCTAAATATGCTGCAATGAAATGACTCTCTTGTCTTAAATTCTAGGCAATTTCAGATCATTTTCTCAGAAATTAGGATTTTACATTTATTATATGACCCATATCTGAGACTTTAGGTTTGGTTTCATGTTTATTTTTCTCTTACCTACTCTTCTGATTGATGGGTTATTGGGGATGGGGAAAAGAGGAAGAAGTTGTGGGGAGCTGCACGTGCATAATTATGGTGGAGTTATATAATGGAAAGTCCATGGACTTTGGAATCAGATCTGCTAGTTTAATATGTTCTAAACATTGGGCAAGTGGTGTATTCTTTTTGTGTATCAGTTTTAGTACTTGCTTTGAGTGTTATTAAGATCAAATGAACTAGTAACTGTAAAGCATCCAATTCCTGACACAAAATAGTTACTTGAGATATGATAACTGTTATTATTATTTGTGAGGTATAATGTATGGTACAGAGTAAATCCGTGAAATTTCTGGATTTAAATGTTCTGAGTGTCTCAAATTTGAGTGTCCTTATTCAGCCCTCCTATTGATCTGGTGTTAAATTTGTTAAAATTATTTTATTTTCCTGTAATATTTTTTCCCAACTTCAGGCAAAAAATGGAATTCAAGAAATGGAGTGTTGTTCTCTAGAATCTGACTGGATCTATTTCCATCCTGATGCTTCTGGTAGAATAATACACGTTGGCCCAAATCAAGTCAAGTGAGTAACTTCATTAGCACTCTGAAGTTAAAAGTAGCTTGTGGTTGCATTTATTGTCATCTCTATTTTTGCCATCTGACTATTGAGCTAGTTATGGAGATAATTAGCTTGTCATAGTGTGCTTCCTCAGATACTAGAATCTAGAAAACCTGACTTTATTCTTTCGGCCTCATCATTACTATGAATATTACATTTGAATAAGTTATTTGATGGATGATATATGAGTAAAAGGAAATTACAGATTGGCCCTTCCTCATCTGGTCTTAATTCTCTTAGATTAAGAAAGAAAATGATTTGTCTTTGTTCTAAAAGACATTTTTGACTCAGGAAAGGTAGTGAATTGTTTGAAGTAAACTTTATTTTACTTTGTTTGCTTTTAGAGCACAACATCTCCTACAAGTTGCCCTCTCCTTCCTTGAAACTCTATTCATTTGGTGTCCCTGACACCACAGTTCTCCTGATGTTTTTTTTTTTTTTTTTTTGAGTCCGAGTCTTACTCTTGCCGCCCAGGGTGGAGTGGCAGTGGCATACTCATAGCAACCGCAGCCTCGACCTACTGGGCTCAGGAGATTCTTCTGCCTCAGCCGTCCAAGTAGCTGGAACTACAGGTGTGTGCCACCACGCCGAGCTAATTTTTTTTTAAATTTACTGTAGAGATGCAGTCTCGGCAAGTTGCCCAGGCTGGTGTCAAACCCCTGGGCTCAGGCAGTCCTCTTGCCTTGGCTTCCCAAAGTGCTAGGATCACAGGCGCGAGCCACTGGACTCGGCCTCTCCGGCATATTTTTCTCTCTCTTTTATCTGCCTTTTTTTAGTATTCTTTTGTACTCTTCCTCCTCTACCCAGACTTCAATTGTAAGATGCTGTCAGGACTTAGGCTCCCTTCTCTTCCTACTCCACATTGCCTTTCTATATGATTCTATGTATTTCCTTGGCTTCATATATCATGTGTACAACAAAACTCTGAAACCTATATACTGTTCTAGCCCAAGCCTCTCATCTGAACTCATGCCAGCAATCTGGAATCATTGTTGACATCTTCCTACCACTTGTCTTTCATCAGCGTACGTACATTTAAACAATCACATGCATTCTCTTTTTCTGCCTTCACTTGCACGTACACATCATCTATTCTGTCAATCCAGTTTATTTTGCTACTGAATATTTCTTAAATCTATCTATTTCTGTTCTTAGCCACCATCATCGTCTTGGTCAGATCACTGTCATCACTAGCTTAGACTACAGTAATAGCCTACTTACAGGGCTCCTAGAATCCACTCTTGCGCTCTCTAAGTCTGTTTTCTTCTCAGCAGCTAGAATGGTTTTTAAGATAATGAACAAATACAAAAACCTAAGCAAGTGAATTCTACTGCTTTAACCTTTTTTATGGCTTTTCATTGCTCTTAGGAATAAAAACCAACGTAGTTTGCATGGTCTGAAAGACCCTCTTCCTTTTCAATTTACTTTAGTCATGCTGTCTTTTCAGAAAGCTGAGGATCTGTTCCCTTTCTTGGGTGTCTGTTTCCCCTACCTGTTCTCCTTTCCGATTTTTATTCATATTTTATGGCCTAGCTTAAAAGGCACTTTTTTATAGAGACTTTCCCTGATACCCTTTATAAGATTTACTTGCCTATCATATTTTCATTGCATCCACTGTGTAATCATCCTCTGTAGCACTTCGAGCTTCTTAATTATTTGTATGATTATCTGTTTAAATATCTAGCTTTGGTATCATAAGCTCCATAATGGCAGGGCAAGAGTCTGTTTTGCTGGCCCTGTAAGCCCCAGCACTGCGTATAGTACTCAGCACGGAACTGATTCTCAGTATTTGTTGAATAAAAAGGGAAATGTCTGCCGCTTTATGCTCTATGATAATCAATCTGCCGCTTTGGGTGCATTATAAGTATAAGGAGGATGAAGGGATTTAATGAAATAAGATTATTCTTTTACAAAATATCTTAAACTGTGGTTCAGCTTCAGTAAGCCTTTCTTTTAATGTTTATTACTACTCATATTAGTTTGAGTTTGAGAAAATAATGTCCTTAAGGTGTGTGTGTTATGCTCTGGTTTCTCTTCAGAACAAATAAATCTTTAGCATTTTACTAAAACAAAAAACAAAAAAAAAAAGAGTGTATGCCCTTTTGCCTGGTTTTAAAAGATAGGCACTTTTAAATATTGGCAGTAAGATAACTAATCAAGTAATTTAAAACATTATCTGATTTCTTTGTCTCTGCCAACTCTGAGGCCTCCAGCTCTTCTTGGCCACAGTAGCTGCTTTTCTGTGCTGTTCTCTTTGCCTGCATTTGAGACTTGGAACTTGGAAAACACTGTGTTTTTGAAACTCGTTAATGATGTGAACAGATTTGTGTGGGTGGTGAACAAATTATTTTATTTTTTCTTGCTTAATAAGCTTAATTCTTGAGGTCATTTGTACTCAGAAAACTCAAATCTTTCCATATAACTAGTCCTAAGAAAAAAGAATTGTCAATTGCAGTTTTTAAATATTACTCTATCATGAAAACTCTTAGTTCAAATTTAATTGCTGATCCAGATCTCTCTTATTAAGTGTTTTTCATCAATGTCTCATTCTGTCTTCACAAATAAAAATTCAAATATCTGTTATAATGCTATTTTTAATGCTGAAACAGTCAACACCTGTTAGAGGATGGCAGCAATGAGGTTTTTCAGAATAACTTTTGTTAAGCCAGTTTGGAAGATGGCTTAGGCCTGAGCAGGTTGCTTCATTGCCTACTTCAATAGCACCTATTGTCATCATGCATGTATTTTTCTGTTTAATAAAACTTATGAATTTTAAGGAGTTTATGGACACTTAGTGATCAGACATTAGCATTGCAGACTAATCAAGAAAGGAGAAGAGAGCTATCTCAGTGTTGTTACTATAATTTTTATTTGGTGAGTTTCATTTCAGTAGTTAAACAGCCTTTGATGATGTTTTGAAGTCCTAGGTTCTCAGAGTCATTTTTCTCTTTTCAGAGTTTTGAAGCTAAATGAAATAGAAAATAATAGTTCTCAGCATCAGATCTCTGAAGATTTTGTCATTTTGGCCAACAGGGACAAGAACAAAGTAAGTTAGGAATACTTTAAAATTCTTTAAATATCATTGTCTTTTTATGTAAGAATATAATATGCAAATATGTTTGCCTTTGAGTGTGGCTGAAAACAACAGCACAACCCTATACAAGTCTGTTCATTTTGTCTACATTGGTAGTCAGTCTTAGCCCCACATACATTACATTTGAAATTTGAAGAGAGTTAATTGTGTTGAGTTTGTCTTTTGTTTATTTTTGTTGCCTTATTGGGTTTCTTTTTAAGTTTTTATTATACACACAACCTTTTGGTCTAATTAATTGTGTAAACTTAGGTTTAATTGGAGTATATATAAATCTTTTTAAATATCACATACTTTAACTCCAGATGGTACTTTTCCTTTAGTGTGTAAATTAAGAACACAAAGAAAACCATGGGGAGGGAAACTTCTAAAGCACTTTTTGTTTGCTGTACTATATACTAAGGCAAAAGTCAGAAAGGCAAATGAAGGAGCAAATCTATACCCTTTTAATCAGTTTATTTATTTTTGCCTATTCTGGTATTTTATCAATTAAAAACTTTATAAAGTAGTTTTACTGGTGGAGTGCAGTGGCTCATGTCTGTAATCCCAGCACTTTGAGAGGTGGAGGTGAGACGATTGCCTGATCCCAGGTGTTCGAGACCAGCCTAGGCAACTTGGCAAGACCTCATCTCTACCATAAATTAAAAAATCAGCTGGGCATGGTGATGCGAGCCTGTAGTTCCAGCTAGAAGGGCTGAGGCAGAAGGATCGCCTGAGCCCAGCAGTTTGAGGCTGTGGTGGCCATGGGCATGCCACTGCACTCCAGCCTGGGCAACAGAGTGAGACTCCGACTCAAAAATAAATAAATAAATAAAGTAGTTTTACTAACTAGAGGGTCAAAAATCTGAATCAGAATTTTCTCATTTGTGGAAAGAATTGTGGTTGTTGAGAAAGGGCTGGTTGGTTTTACTAAGCTTGTTATTACAGTTTTGCCTTTGACGGCATATAATAAAACGTGTCATGTCTTTTTATTTCTCTCCATATGATAGAATGAAAACTTATTCACTGTTACAGCTTCTGGACGGGTGGTAAAAAAAAGTTTTAACCTTCTGGATGATGACCCAGAACAAGAGGTATTGCTTTAGCCAGAGATAACAAACCAAAGCAGTGTCTCCTTGCACTGTGAATTTCATATTAGTGCTTCCCAGACCCAGGGGGTAGAGGTTGGGGTGAGGGGTTCCACACAGGTCTAGTGGGCAGGACTGTGTGTGCTATTGCAACCAGTGCAGCCTCACCATCCTTTCTTTTCAAATTGGAATTATTCATAAGATTTTATTTATAGAAAAGTTCATAGGACCAAAATAATTTGAAAACACTATTAGTTTATTGCTTTGCTTTGTTGATATGTATACTTTCTAGGGAAGTCTCTTAATAAAAAACTCTTTTGATTATGTACTAATAATATTATGGCTTTTGCCTTATTTTTTCCTTACTAGACATGAATATGTTTAATGTTCATGGGCCAGAGGAAGAAGGTGTGAGGATGTGGGAAATTGATTCAGCCTGAGTTAGATTTGCTTTGTCCTCAACTTGCCTTTGTCAGTCACTGAACCAAAACGTTTTTTATCCCTTTCCTTTTTTTGGAAGAAAACCACTTTGTTCTAATTAACTCACAAAAAAAAAAAACCCTAAATCAAAACAGCTGGCTTAAGGAGGCTACACATTTGCCCAGCTCCAAATACTAAACCATCTCAATGAAATTCTACACAGTAACAACAACCTCTTCCATTGCAATTCTGAAGCAAGGAAGTAATGAATGACAGAGGGCAGGTTTAACTGATGGTTTTGCACTTTATACCTTCACTATCAATTATATTTTTATTTTAAATCAACTTGGAGCCGGGCTCAGTGGCTCAGCCTGTAATTCCGCGCTTTGGGAGGCTGAGGTGAATGGATTGCCTGAGTCCGCGGGTTCGAGACCTGCCCTGGGCAACTTGGCGAGACCTCATCTCTACAATAAATAAAAAAATTAGCCGGGCGTGGTAGTGCACGCCTGTAGTTCCAGCTACTTGGAAGGCTGAGGCGGAAGGATCGCCAGAGCCCAGCAGGTTGAGGCTGCGGTGACCAGGAGCGTACCACTGCACTCCAGTCTGGGCGACAGAGACTCCAACTCAAAAAAAAATTAAAAATTAATTAATTAATTAATTAATTAAATTAAAAATTAAATCAACTTGGTCATGAGAGCCAATTTTCCATTTCTTCAATCTGCCCTTCTTGGTTAGGCCAATCCATTTGCAAGTCTGCACTGTTTTAGCACCTCACTGAAACCCTCACAGAGCTTTATGTCACCCTGATTCTGGGCACACTCCAAAAACTGTTTTATCTCATAAAAGCAAGGCTGCTGCTGCTGTGTGGGCTGGGCTCCCAGAGAGGTTCCTGGTAAGTGATGTCAGTCCTTAAGAAAGTTCAGCATTACTTCCTCCACTGAAGCCCCACTGATGGCATGACCCAGTGTGTGCCCGACAGCAGAGCCCATGGCCATGCCAACTGCAGTGGCTGCCATCTGGACCATCAGGCCTGGCGGCCAAGGAGCAGCAGCAGGTGAACCAACTGCATATGGTGGGGCTGCTGCTGGTGGCTGAGCTTCCAGTGCTGGCCTGGGTGCAGTTCTTATCTGAGGGGCCCGGCAGACTGGAGGGGCAATGCAGGAGGTGCAGCTTCGGCTTCCATGCAAATATCCATGCAAATATCCAGTGGCTCAGCGTCTAGACATGCAAAACTACGAAGAGCCCAGCAACTTCTATCCCTTTCTTTTAAAGAGGCATTCAAAGTACTTATGAAATCAGCTAAAAAGTTATTAAACTTCAATTATATAAAACACTGCATAAATACTAAATCCATTTAGAATATTTAGCTATATTGTCTGTATGACCATTTTTAGGGAAAAACATTAGAGTAGCCTTCTAGGGACAGTTTTAAAAAATATTTTAGAATAGGTTAGAGATGTCCCAGTATGTGACTGTTCTCAAAAAAACAAAAACAAATAATCTTTTGTACCATAGAAAACTATTGAGAACAAAGGAGAAAGCTCACTACTCTGTATAAAACTATATTCAATAAATATGTACTGATATTACCAAAAAGTATGAATAATTAAGGGGGAGAGAGGTGATAGCAAAAAGAGAGATGCTGTATATCATGAGATTAAAAAACAATATCTAGTTAGTACTTCATAAAGGAAAAGTTGAAGGGAATTGTGACTAAAATCACTGACGCCCAGGCAAGAAGTTACCCTTTGAAGTTTGATCATGGTGTGATTAAGGCAAAAAAGTAAATAAAAGGAATCACAGGTAAATTTTTGTCATAAGGTGTTGAAGGCAGACAATGTTAATGGATTAAAGAGGAATTTAAGCAAAAATAAGGGAAGAATTAGTGTGTGATAATTAAGAAAAACTTGCTATGCCTGTCTTTAAGATTGATGCCAGGCATTCAGTCAAGATGTGCCTTCCTGTTGTTTATTCCTGGATGATTGGGCACTGATCTGCTTCCCCTGTGCTGTTACTAAAATCCTAGGTTTTCTTCCTTGAGACAGAGCTCTGGGTTTTTTGCTCTTTATCGTAGCTGACTTCTCTTGTCCCAGTTCTGTTCTGTGAGTTGAATTTTAATTCCTGATATTCTCTCTCAAGTATAAGCAGTCATTTTTTTATTTCTCTAGGGAACAAAAAATGGTTTAAAAAATAAAAATAAAAAGAGGCCAGGCATGGTGGCTCACTCTTGTAATCCCAGAACTTTGAGAGGCTGAGGTGGGAAGATTGCTTGAGACCAGGAGTTCAAGACCAGCCTGGGCAACAGCAAGACCCCATCTCTACCAAGAGAAAAAAAATTAAACCAGCATGGTGGTGTGTATCTGTGATCCCAGTTACTTGGGAGACTGAGGTGGAAGGATCACTTGATCCCAGAACTTCAAGATTACAGTGAGCTATGATCATGCCACTGCACTCCAGCAACAGAGCAATACATTGCCTCTGAAAAAAATAAAATAAAATAAGATGGCAAATAAAGTCACAAATAGTGTATGATGGGCTATCAGCCCTTGAAGTGACTTTTTTTTTTCTGGTGTGAGAACTTTCAGAGCTCAGTAAGCAATTTTCAGGTTTCAGAACTGAGCTTCACATATTTAGTTCTGTCCAGGAATCAGCAAACACACTTGTCAAAGGCAGCAGTTGATTACCTCTTGAATTTGTAAAAGCTCTGGTTTGCTGTTACTATAGAGAATTTCGGTTGTACTTTGGCTGAGATCTACATAGACTTGGATCTTTTTGTCAAAATCTTATAGATACTGCTTAACTCTTGAATTTCTTGGGACTGATGTTTTACTAGGCATATAGAGACATATTTCTATCTATTTTCCACCTATTCTTTCTTCCTTCTCCTGCATCTTTATAACTAATAGAATAGTTGAACTATAAATATAAGAATAATTCTAACTGAATAACTAGATTTTGCCCCTCTTTTCTTCCATTTTGTCCATGTATCTCCAAGACTTTTAAAATTGTGGACTATGAAGATGAGTTGGATTTGCTTTCTGTGGTAGCTGTTACTCAAATAGATGCTGAAGGAAAAGCTCACCTGGATTTCCACTGTAATGAATATGGAACTTTACTTAAAAGCATTCCCCTAGTGGAGTCGTGGGATGTGGTGAGTAGACTCCATGAAATACAAAGTTATAGGAGTTTCTTTATAGGTACCATTTATTGGAACAGATGTTACTGTGTTCCTGTTAGTCCAGCCTCACCTACATCAGTGACCACATGAAAGAAGATCATTGTCCTATACACAGGAAGAAATGAATGCTTCTTTAGGCTTCCTCCCCTCAGCACTAAAGAATGCTTCCTTACCAGTGGCCTTAAAGATAAAACTTGATGTGTTTTCTTGAGTCATGCTCTCTATTTCCTTACCCTAGTCTTGTTTTCTCCCAATAAGTTTGGTAACATTTTAAAGCATAAAAATATTCTATAATAAATCCCCACAGTTATTTTCTAAGGACCCTATCTAATCATGTAGGACTTCCAAGTACTCTTGGAAATGTTTGTCTGGTCTTTCTACTATTATAGAATGTAAAAGTTATAAGGAATAATAGACATTATTTTATTCAGACCATGTTTGATCAGTGGGAAACCTGAGATGTTTAACAACTTGTACAAAGTGAGATAGTAGCAGTGTTGGCAATAGAATCTGGGTATTTAGACTTCTGAGTCCAGACTTCTTTTCATTCTCTATATCTTATAGAATGCTTTTTTATTAGTAATCTGCATATCCATAAATAATGGCAAGTAAATCTATTCTTGGCATCTGTTTTGCCTCTAAGTGTGTGGTTGAAGATCCCTAACATAGGTACTATGACATTTCAGTGACACAATAGTGAATATGGTTATGTGAAAAGGAGATTCCATGTGATTGTGTTTTTGTTACAGACATATAGCCATGAAGTCTACTTTGACCGAGACTTAGTACTACACATAGAACAGAAACCCAACAGGGTCTTCAGCTGCTATGTTTACCAGATGGTTTGTGACACTGGGGAAGAGGAAGAAACCATCAACAGAGGTTCTTAAAAAGAGTGAGATAACTGGACCTTAAGAGACTTTTAGCCAAACAACCCAGTGGCTGTGTCCAGCCCTCCTTTTTATTATCTGCATGGCATATTCTCTAGTATTTTCCAGAAAAGATGTTATGTTGACTTCAGATGACTGTGGCTTCTTTTTTAAACTCTAGCTGTTATGTAAAGGTCTTTTAGAATGCTGTCCCAAGAAGTCTCGTGTTTTGAAGCACTGAGCTAGGTGGTGGTGTAAATATAAAATGCTTGGGCAACTGGGTACAGTTGTTCATGGCTGTAATCCCAGTGACTCAGGAGACTCAGGTGGGAAGAGGATCACTTGAGCTCAGGAGTTCAAGACCAGCCTGAGTAACATTGCAAGTCTCTGTCTCTACAGAAAATTTTTTTTAAAAAAGAAAATAGGCGGGCATGGTAGCATACACTTATAGTCCCAGGAGCAAGAGAATACTTGAACTCAGAAGTTCAAAACTACAGTGAGGCATGATTGTGCCACTGAACTCCAGCCTGGGCAACTGTACTCTAGCCTGTCTCTAAATAAATCAATAAATACATATGTACATAAATGCTGGGAAACAGAAAGGGACAGGTTAACTGCAATTCTTGAGGAGAGGGTCATCAATGGGGGAGGTATTTAACATGGTTCTTAAAGGATGGTATGTAATTTTGATTGTTAAGACTTAGAAGAGAGAGGTAAAAATAAAGATACTAAAGATATTCAAAGAAATTCTACATCCTCTATACCAAACTTTGCTTAAGCATGAGTAATGAGATGTATAATGTGAAAGCATTCTTTTGAGCCAAAAATGTATCATCACATTTTTAAAATCTTATATATATATATATATATATATATATATATAATATATGTTTGTATTTGTATATAATATCGGGAATTGGTTCTAGTTCCCAAATTCTTTTCTTATATTGTTTTAGACTTAATGTTTTCATTGAATATTTGTGTTTCTATTATAGACTCATATAAAAGGTTCCAAGCAAACCTGAAGTGAAATGTTTTCCAAAATGTATTCTGTTTAGCTCTTAACTTATCTAAAGTTCTCATTTCATCATTCTGTTTTTTCCGTGAGTTTTCCAATTTTTTAAAGGCAATATTTTCATACCTATGCAGTAAAGTAAAGGTACCCTGGCTTGCACCAGTTCTATTCTCTACAGAAGAGAAGTTTTTACTAGCTTGGAAGTTGCCTGATTAGCTAGAGAAAATGTTTGACTCTCTTAGTTATGAAATGATTAGTTTTTTCTTTGTTAAAAAAGATCTAAATATGATCCTAGAACTTCAGTGATCATTCTTCAGAATGTTAAATAAATGCAACCTAAATAAAGGGAGAAAATGTTCCTTTGTGCTTCCTGCTTCAGAAATCCAGTTGCTTGCAATCCACATGTTCAACACATTTCTCTGGTTCAACCTCAAAATAGTTTTAAAAAAAAAGCAGACAGAGAGGGAGAGAGAGAGAGAAGAAAACAGCAGTAAAAATCATTGCTCATTTAAGTTTAAGGAATTTTAACTTGGATAATTTACTTTAAGATTCCTCAGTTTTTCCATTCATTTTGACTTGATTACATGCTAAGAATGATGTGAATTCTGCCCTTGAAAGTTGGAAAATAAATTTCAAGCTCAAAATGGTACCTATTCCAAAAGTCAAGGAATTAGTAGCAGAGTCTGTAAATTTAAAAGAAATAAAGGGAGCAAACTTAAAACTGTCTTTTGTGCAATAGAAAAAAAGATTACTGGCTGGGATCGGTGGCTTAGCCTGTAATCCCAGCACTTTGAGAGGCTGAGGCGAGAGGATTGCCTAAGCCCGCGGGTTCGAGACCCACCCAGGCAACTTGGCGAGACCTCGTTTCTACAATAAATCAAAAATTAGCTGTGCATGGTAGCGCGTGCCTGTAGTTCCAGCTTCTTGGAAGGCTGAGGCGGAAGGATCGCCGGAGCCCAGCAGGTCGAGGCTGCGGTGGCCGGGAGCAGCCACTGCACTCCAGTCTGGGCGACAGAGTGAGACTCCAACTAAAAAAAAAAAAAAAAAAAGATTACTAACATTTTAGAATAAGAGAAAATATTTATATGTGGTCTAAAGGTAAATCTTTCTGAATCTGATCCTAAGTATAATAACATCTGAGAAGGTAGAAGTGATTACTTTCTGTGAGTAAGATGATAAAATTATTTTTGTATATTAAATTCGAATCCTTTTTTATCTACTAATTGAAAAATTCATTATCATTTTGTGCATATTTAATAGTGCTGTTTAATATAATACCTGAAGCTTTCGGCACATTTTAGAGACATGATTATGGTTACAAACCAGTAGAATAGTTACAATGTGCTAGATATATTACCCCAAACTTTCCAGCAGTTCTGTCTTTTTGGCATCAGGGAGCGGTTTCATGGAGACAGTTTTCCCATGGACGGTGGCAGGGGAAGAATGGCATCATCAGGCACTAGATTCTCATAAGAAGCCACAGTGTAGATCTCTTGCATGCACAGTTCACAATAGGGTTCAAGACCCTGTGAGAATCTAATGCCACCACTGATCTGACAGAAGTCGGAACTCACTCACCCCACTCACCTCCTGCCTTGCAGCCCAGTTCTTAACAGGCCATGGACTGGTACCGGTATGCGGCCAGAGATTTGGAGGACCCCTGAATTAGACCCTAGCTGTAGCTAAGCAGTCTAGTTTTACATCTTGAAAAACAAGAACAGTAAGAGAACAGTGAAAGTACCAGAGAAAGGAAAGAAACCAATGTTGTGTGGGTTTCAAAGCAGATGCAGTGCTATGTAAAAGCAGAATGTTCACTCTCCATTTCAAAGAGTGTTTCAGAATAGGAATTAGATTTTAGACATCAGTCCTGTCAGATTTTTTTTTTTTTTTTTTTTTTGAGTCAGAGTCTCACTCACCCAGGCTGGAGTGCAGTGGCATGCTCATGGCCACCGTAGCCTCAACCTGCTGGGCTCAGGCAATCCTTCCACCTCAACCTTCCAAATAGCTAGAACCACAGGTACATGCCACTATGCCCAGCTAATTTTTTGATTTATTGTAGAGATGGGGTCTCTAAGTTATCCAGGCTGGTCTCGAACCCTTAGGCTTAGGCAGTCCTCTCACCTTTGCTCCCAAAGTTCTGGGATCACAGGCGTGAGCCACCATGCCTGGCCTAAGTTTTTTTTTTAAAGGTGATTATTGAGTTTCTCCTTCACCTTTAAATCATCACCTTCTTTTGAGGAAATAATAGAAAGGAACTCAACTACTCAGAAAGGAATTTGAGAAATATCTCAGATTCCTGGCTGCTTTTTTGGTGGGGAAAGGGGTGGATTACTTCTAGTCCAGATATGAACTGACCACTAAGGAATTCCCAACATGTCGCCACTGCCAAAATCTAACTAGGCGAGGGTCTAAATGCCATACAGACCAGGCAAGAAATATCCCTAGTATGAAAGACAGTAGGGAGTTGTGGACAGTGTAATAAACAGGAGAGCTGTGCCCCAACTAAAAGGATTAGCTGCTACTGCTTAGTTTCAGCCAATTGTAACAGTATGTGGGAATGTAGGCTGCATGACTGTTAACTAGATGGTTGATGAAAAGATGCCAAAAGATAACAGAAGATAGCAAAGAGTCTGGGAAACTTAGATACCACACATAGCAGGAGACAGTGCAGCCAGCATGCTGTGGACTTCCCAGCACCCTGCAGTGTCGCACAGCTGCTTATTCTGCCACCTGCCAGACATTCTTGCCATTCTCTTATGGTTGAGGGGGAGTGGTGGTTAATATCTTCCTGCCCCACTTTAAACCCCCTCTTCACCTGTTTTAGAAACACTAGCTATGTGCCCACCTACTTGACAGGAGCAAAACATTATGGGTGATTTGCATGAGTGTTTCCGGCATGCCCTGGTGAAGCAGAGTAGCTTCTCCCAGCCAGTACAGACATTAAACTGAAAAGAGGTGCATTTCTGCATTGTAATCTTTGATCTAAGTTTCTATAGTCTCACTGTATCAATGCAGCAAGCTTATTGTTATATGATTTTCTACAATATTTCTTGCAAGTCTAAGAGAAGACAAATCCCATCACATTTTCTATTTGTATTACCTAGTGAGAAGATGGTATTGTTCTATTTAGACAAATTAAGACACTCTACATTCTTCTACCAGTTGAATGTTTTGTGTCTTACACACTTTTATTTTTTTTATAAATAATTTATTTATTGAGTATTTTTATCTGCCAGTCACTGTGATGCAGAACATGTAAAATGGGTTGTTTCATTTAATATTCAGAATTACCATATGAAATATGAGCTACGATTGTCTTTCCCCTTTGTACAAATGAAGAAAGTGAAGCTTACAGAAGTTAATTTGCCCAAGGTCCCCCAACTAATAAGTGCAGAGACAGGAAATACATCCCAATTGATTTGATACAAACTTATGCCATATTTTCTCCAAAGCTCTCAAGAGGCAACACATATTATTTTATTCCATATTTAGCATAACAACAATTATAATATTAGGTACACAGGAAAATACTTAATAAATTTTTTAAAAGTTTTCATTCTAACACTTTTTAATGATTGAATATATACATTTGTACAAAGTTTGGATAAGACACAATTCACACAGAATGACAAAAAGGTAGTTCTTCATTCAATGGTTGGAAGTTGTTTAAAAAATGATACTTTCATTTTGTGGTGATAATAAACTCCAGTATTAGAAATTAATCTTAGTATAACTTTTTTCAATAATTTTATCTTCTCTTTACCACATTGACATATATCATCTGCCTTTTAGAATTCTAGGGAAAATTCAGGGGCTAATTTTTGGCCCCCTTGTTGCTATAGAATAATTTATTTCAAGCAAAAGATATATAATAGAAAGATACAACAAACTGAGGTATTTTCCCTATCATTTTATTATGAAAAAAGTTTTTTGGTTTTTTTTTAGTTGGAGTCTCACTCTGTCACCCAGGCTGAAGTGCAGTGGCACACTCACGGCCACCCCAGCGTTGACCTGCTGGGCTCCCGCAATCCTTCTGCCTCAGCCTTCCAAGTAGCCAGAACTACAGGCGTGTGCTACCATGCCCGGCTAATTTTTGGTTTATTGTAGAGATGAGGTCTCACCAAGTTGCCCAGGCTGGTCTCGAATCCGTGGGCTAAGGCAATCCACTTGCCTCGGCCTCCCAAAGTGCTGGTATTACAGGCTGAGCCACCGAGCCCGGCCAATGAAAAATGTTTAAATATATAGTAAAATTGAA